CCCTGCATAACTTCATGCCAGCTGCAAATGTGGCTGCTTCACTACACATTCCTAATTCCAAATAATTTATAATCAACCTAAATAGTGCAATTGGGGTGTACAACTGGGAGGGACTGCCCTGCAACTGTAATTATGCAAGCATATTTATCTGTCCTGTAACTTAAAATGGCACAGATCAGTTTGTAGCAATGCCACAGGTTTGTAACAGTCATGGCCTCCAAATGCTACAAAAAGAGACTCAAGATCCATAGACTTCAAAGATTTAAGTCTATATGAGGGTTTACCAGAGTGGTTATTCACCCTGTCTGTACAAAGATCTCTCTAGGATGCCTCTGTTTGATTAACTACCAACCAAGCTTATGGTTATATGGCAGTCAAGAGAAAGCCCCACCAGATCTAGCAGGAAAGACATATTCTGAGTGCCTTCCATTAAACAATGTCATCTTGCTGGACCCAGAAGTCATGCCTTCTCCATTGCAGTGGCTACCCTGTGGAACAGTATCTCTCTGGAGATCCAGATGACCCCAATCTTGTTAGCCTTTCGCAAGACATTAAAGAATTGGCTGTTTCCCCAGGCATTTGGCCCAAGAGGTTAAGCGATCTCTGCTGGCTGATGTTGTTGGAATAGTAATCTCCATGCATCTGTCACACTAGAATGCTCTTTTACAGTACCCAGTCAACTATAGATTTATTTTATTTATTTTATTCAATTTGTATAGCTGCCCATTTTTCTAACACTTCTTAATTCCTGTTCCTCTTTGTAAAGAATTGGATGCAGCTGTCAGCCACTGGACTTCGGAACACCCGATCTAATTATTTCATTAATTATTTCTCAAATTCCTACACTGACTGTGCCCAACACGGTGACCTACACTTTGACTACAATCCTCATCATCTCCAGCCAGCTGACCAACAACCTTATCCTTTGTCATTGGAATCAAGTACAATCTAGCCAGTCTTTAACCATCACTATAAAGACTGCCATGTTCATTTGCAGACTGAATTGCTTCATCATTTTAATAAAACCAGGTTAACATCAACAGATGGCTGAAAACCAACTAAGACAACATTGTGGTACTACATCTGAGTTTAGTCCTTTTGATTTTGGGAGAATAAAGAGAAGGAGAATAGGAAATTCTTTCATACAGTTTTTTAATTTCCATTGGATTCAATTAGTTTGAAGTTAATTGGGATTGAGCTCAGCCTGATCTAATTTTGTACTGTGGGCAATGAAATGGAGTTACATATGGTTAATTCAGCCCTACCCCTTCCCAGTTGCTCCACTGGCATATCTTGGCCTATAGGGCAGCTCAGGATGGCAGATCTCTGGGGCCAGATCTTTGCTAGCAGAAAAAGGCCTTTCGCCATTACCATATTAAGCTGTTATCCACCCATCCCTGAGTTGCCATAAAATAATCCTGGCATAAACTCTGTATCCCACTGCCAGTCTCTATCCTGCCTCTGTGTTCCGAGTCACTGCTAAATGCTGTGCTCCTGACTGGTGAGTGTGCCAGCTGTTACAGGCAGGCTGACTGGTTCTCCTGGCTGTGCTGCTGTGCCCTTTCAGCGCATCCCCAGACAGCAGAGACAATAACTACCAGTCAGGGCCTGCAGCAGGAAGAGGGCGCGCTCTGACTTCAGGACTTAGCCTGGGATTATTCAGGCTGGTTCGCCTGCCCTTCCTCCCCCCATTCCATCTGGATCTCTCCCAAATTTAAAACTGTGCGAAGTAAAGCGATGTATGAGAAGGTGCTAGGGCAGAAAGAGCCACAACCCACATGAAGGCCAAGTCCTGTAAAGAGGGATCCCTGAAAATGACTACCCGTTAAGCCACCAGTTCTCTTATAGCAGGTAGTAGTAAAGTCATTAAAACTGGGAAATATAAAGAACTGGTCAAAAAGCAAGGAAGCCCTGGTTCAGCATCCCTCCTTGTTTTCTGGGCACCACAGAAAGGAAAAGCAGGACTGCTGCATTAAAGGTAAAGATCCCCACGCTGCCATTTCAAAATGCTGTGAAGGCTATGCCCCTCTTCCCACATAAAAGCATGGAGCTGTGGTCACTGCAGGCTACTCAGAGAATGGAGTGGCACAAATAAGCCCCTCTTCTTCCTCACATAAAATACTGGAGGTCTGCTCTCCTCTTCTCTAGTTTGTTGGAGAGAAATAGGGAAGAGGTGATAAACTCAGGAGAGGAAGTACCAATACAGAATACAAACCCTGGGAGAGAAATGACTACTATAGTGACCAGGCAAAGTAAAAGAGAGATGATGGCATTTAGGATTCATTCAAAATGGTTGTATCAAGAGGGTCATCATTCTGAATGATTCACTTTTGAAAAACAGAAAAAGAGCCTCTCCCTGCATTGAACAGCAAACATATCACAGGTACCTCTACTGAGCCTGTCTTTTCAATGTGCTAGTTTACTTCATGCAGAGGAGACTTTTTTCTGTTTTACTTGAGTGATAAATATATATAAGTGCATCACCAGGATTTAAAATCTGAAGCTACAAAGTCCAGAATTCAGCCACCTCATCTAATATTACAATAACTTGGCTCTTGGGGATAAAAATAGATGTGATCAAGTGGTAGTTCCATGGGGTGATTTCATTTTCACCAGGCAAAGAGGGCATACCTGGGCCCCTCCACACTCCCCAGCTACACCTCTGATCACACCCACAAGAAATCACCTGAAGTTGCCTCCAAGGTGATAGGCAAGGAAGTATTACAAATTTTACACAGTTTGAAGCTGTAATGAGATCATGTCAGCTTAAGAGGGAAAACTACATTTAAGCTGTTTCACTCATGACAATGTGCAGCAAAGGGAAAATACTGATATTGTCAGGACATGATTGTGCTGAGTTAAAGTACAAGTGGGGAAGACGCTAGGTCATGATAACTACCTGTAACCAGTGCATCCATTGTAGCAAGACTGCACTGCAAATTTAAACCAATTTACCTAAATGAGTATCCATTTTCTTTGGATTAAGTCCCATTTAGCCCACTTGAATCTACTTCTAAATAAATAAATTGTAAGTCTCTGTAGTCCTTTTCTGTGAAGCAGAACCCTCCATGACCAAATGACTATTTGTGCAACACACTGTGACTGTGGAGTTGTGAGGCCCCCTTTAATGAATATTACTAGCAAAAACTTCAGTGAGGTAAATCTAACCTAAGTTGGGTTTATCAACCTAACAAATCAGATAATTTTTTTAAAAGTGACTATTAACAGAAATCGGTCAATATTTCTCCCAGAGATTTAAAAAAAAGAATCTGGGTAAGTTAATTAACGTTTTAAAACACAGGTCAACAGCCAGAAAGGTTTCTTTCTTAATCAATTTTCTTACCTTTGGAAAACATAAAAAAGGAGCCACCCCTGCCTCCAGTTAAACCAGCCTAGCTCCTGAACTGAGAGAGACTGGTAATCTGCTTTGCAAACATTTCAACATGTGTCCAGTCTGCACTTCACTTTTCCATTTTTTTTTACCTTGAAACAAATGTTTTTCCCCCTCAAAGCTGAAAGCTGTCCAAAAAAACAGGACCACACACAAGCACAGCCCTACTAAGAGCTGTGCAGATCACGTTCAGCCTGTTCCTGCTGCTGCTGCTAACAGGACACGCGCACGCACATACACCCCTACACCCACCCCTACACACACACACACACACACACAAAATGGCGGAAGAGGTGAGCTGCTTTGAACACAGACTTTCCTTTCATGCCCTTAGAGGGAAGAGAGGCACCAATGCCACCAGCTCCTTGGACACACAAGCAGAATCAGGCAGAGGGGCCCAGAGAGAGAAAGTGCTTTTGCAGGGTCCAAAGGACGCCCCCCCCCCACAGACACACAGTTATTTCTTCTTTCACATCACCCAAGCACCCTCTCTTCCATTCTAAGACCATCTCACAAGGTATGACTTCCAGAAATGGATTACAAGACTTGACAGAGTCCACCTGGCCTCCAGCCAACACTATTAAACCCCCATGCCCAGCCCCTCCATGAAAGGAGGGTTCCTCCGGCCACCCCTACTTTTAAGCTGTAAATTTAAATTACGCACTGTCACTTGGAAGCAGAATAAGCTAGGAGAGGGATCAATCCTTACCTTCTACCCAGAGTTCCTCCACATTGGTCTCCAGATTGGCTGCTCTTAATCCTACCGCAAAAGCCCCGAATATCAGAAGGCCAACCACTAAAAATTTCCCGCAGTTTTTTTGAATGTAACAGCCCAGTTTAAATAGCAGTCTTTGAAATTTCGCTCTCAGCCACAGCGGTGCTTTTCTTCCAGTAGCTTTCCCCTAGAAAAGCAAGGAGAGATGGAGAAATGAAGGTCGGGAAAGAACCGCATTCCGAGGGCCTCCGGCGAACTGTCCCCCCAAAAAAGCACAATCTACCGGCAAGAAACCGGCTGCTCCGGAAGGGTCCCGGCCAGCAGTTGCGGCAGGAGCGCGACAGACCAGGGCACGCAAGCAGGCCGTCCAACCTGCACAGCGTTGCAGACGCCCCATCGCCTCGCTCATCCGCGTACCCTCCGAGCCGCGAGGAAGGGCGCTCCTAAGCACCCGATCCGCCGCCGCCCCCTACGCACCGCCAGCCTCGGATCCTTCGTTCGAGCCGGGAGAGGGACCGCAGCGCGGAGCGATCACCCTAGCGCCGGAATCTAAACCGACCTGTCAAACAATCCGGGGATGGACCGGAGAAGGGGAGGGAGAGGTTCTTCTTCCTCCCCCGACCCCCCCCCCCCTTCTGGAAGGGTGGAAAGCCCACTCCACCGCAGACCGTGCCATCCCCTTCCCCGCCTTGCTTCCTCGGCTCGGAAGCTCCAGCTTCGCAGCAACTGCACGGCCCCACGTGGTTACCGACCGCGCTGGTAACCTAAAGTTAGGAACTGCAGCATGCATTGCCGCTGGGCGACGCTGGGGTGATCTGACTTTGGAAGCCGAGCAGCCATCGGTAAATTACCACAATACTGGCGAATGGGGGAGACCAGCCCCATGGATCCCTTCTTCCTCCCCTCCAACTCAACCACACTTTAGAAAAAATACAGACGCGCACACACGCATTCACTGGTGCTTTTGCTTTTTCTGTCGCTGTTCTTCCCGTCCGATGCAACGTGAACGCGCTGCCAAACCTGTTACTTCCCTTGAAGAGGAGGGGTGGGTTATCTCAATCAGGACGGGAAAGGTGGAAGTTAGGAATTTGCTTACAGTTTTCACTCTCTTCCCTGCCGCTGAAGAGGAAACGAGACATTCAGTGAAAAAAATGTCTTTTGGAGGGAAATCACACTTCTACACTTAAACCGGGATAACAGGAGCAACGGGGGGGGGAGGGGGTCCGCGCTGGTTTGTAAAACGTTGGAATACTTTTTTCTCGTGCAGAACTTTTTATCAGGGGCTGGACAGAAAACCAAACCCTTTGAAAGTTTTCTTTGGAGCGGAGAGAGAAGAGAAGAATCATCATCATTCGTGAAGAACAGAGAGGAAAGTCCCATTCATACATTCACACACACTTCCCGGGTAAACGCGATTAGATGACTGCAAAGGAGGGACGAAGGGCTGCCTCCCTACCTCTTAGGAGCCA